CATACCATCTGTAGTACGTCAGATTCTTGATAATGATTTATATGCCTAGCTTTCAGCAGTAAAGCCGGACACTGAAAGGTCTGCAGAGTGCAGAAGCAACGCGCGGCTCATCGCATATGCTCCTCCAGCTGTGCTCGGGAATCACGGAAAAGATGAAAAAACAATTATGTCCGCATGTTCACTATTTATGTTCCTCTCCAGTGTTCCTTTTTCCGCCCTTTTTGATTAGCAAAAAGTTACCCCTAGTTATGGTTAGACAGAAAGCGCAGCAATAGATAGGTAAAATGCGGTCATTTCCAGGATTTTGTCTCCTTACGCTCTACACCCATTGAGTACGAAACATATAACTCCGCGCTGCGCGTGGATGATGACTGTCTTGCCTTTTCAGGGTGCGGCTTATCCATAGAAAATTAGGGTATATGTAAGTTATTACCTGAGACCAATGTAACGGCGAGATAAGTTTATTCGCAAAGTATGCGCAGAATGACATTTTTTGGTTAATGCCATTTCTTATAATCTCATTGAACCATATGTCTGCTGCCTGAAATGAACTCGACGCTTATTAAGTGTATTGTGCAACCGTTCTTTTGTCTTGGTTATATGAAACGAATATGTTGAGCTGTAATACCACACCTTAATTAGTATGGACGACCTGATGAGCACATTGAGAAAGCGCCAGAAAAAAACGGAAGTCAATTGCGAAAGCTTTTCATCAATTTTTAATAAGCGGATTTATCCAAACATAACATATAATACATCAGCTTTTCTAGTTGAAAAAACCCTTAGGACAAGACTATGTCAAAATCGTCCATATTACATTCGCACATTACCATTTTACAACAAGTAATAAACGAAAAGTTGCGCTTAATCCTTTGTTTAGCTTAATCAAACTTTGGAATTTTACATATTAATTGAAAAGAGGAAGTCTTGGCACTTTGTTCCAATTTAGTCTAATTAAAAAGTCCTAATTGATTGAGTTTTTTATGCTTTACCGCTAGTCACACATCAGCCTCAAAATAACACTTCTAAATGTGTATCTCAGTAAAAAGACTGCAAAACTTACCCTGCTCACTGCTATCGAAGGTGTCCCAAGATCACTGTATGCGACATTAATCACCTGAACATTTTCGCCTTGACCTACACGTGAGCTTTCCGGCGTTCCATTTAATGTGCATGCGGAAGCAACGGCCTGAGCATCCTCTTCCAAGTTGCAGTCATATTGCTACAACTCTTTTTTTCTAATCTAAATAAAAACTTTTCAAAGTTCTATGGACCATTTCACGCATGTTCCTTGCGCGTCTTATGTAGTACGAATTCCGTCCATTCCGATACGAGCCTAAAGCTGTTGCAGCTCTGAAAGCAAATACACTTCATACACGAACGTTATTTTTGTGATTATATTTAAAATTCGGAAATTTTTCCGAATGAACAAATATCGAATATTCCTTTGTTGTAAAAAATATTTGAGAACGAATT